ATATTCACCAAACTGAAGTCAGTCAGGCGTGGGGCATTCGGTGAATTGACCCTACTGTCATTAGCTCCCCTCACCTGGGCGTCCTCCCGCAGGTCCGTGGCCTCTTTCAGGGGCCCGCTGGCTGGTTTGAAGGTCTCGTCCACCACCTTGATGCCGGTGTGCCTCAGCGTGACGTACTCCCTTCCTCGCCTCCCCACCCTCCTCACCGACAGGCCTCGCCGGTGGGCCTTCCCGCCTCCTCGACGGTTGGTGACGGCCACGTGGACAAACAGGCTGGTGTGGGGTAAGGGGTCTCCCGCCATTCCCAGCAGGGGCACGTTACGGTAGCCGGGCTGAAGGCACTCGAAGGCCACGCTGTACTGGCCGATGAAGTCGTCGCCGATGTAGTCGTCGTCGAGAACGACGAAGCGCAGCAAGGCCAGCTCTGGCATGTTCACCTGGAGACAAACACAAGAGATGAAATCCAGGCTTTTTAAAAATCTGGCTTCTGGAATAGTACTAATTCTGGTCTTTGGACATCTTAGGAAACTTTGGGNGGGGGGGGGGGCAGTATTAGATCAGATGTACAGTTCCGGCTGTAAGACTAAGCTGGGAAAGGTCAAAAGAGGGAGCGTTCACAGTCACTTCCCCTCTCAGCTCCCCCCTGTCATCCGCCGTCTCTCTTGTGAATTAAATCAATATGGCAGTCATTGCGGCGTTTAATCCAGTGAAATCAGCCTTAGCTTAAGCGCATTTGGCAACAGAGGAGACAATATGGCATGAATGTGGAAAATCACAGAATTTAGGGTGTTTTTTTAAGCTGCTGCAGGTGTGTCGGTCTGCTGAGCTGCCAATCTGGGTCACCTCACCACAAAAGGTTTATTTTTTGCACATACGAGAATATAAAACGGTGTTTTTCCACCTGGCAGAGCCCCGAATGTGTGATTATCACGGCCCACCTGTATGGAAGCGGCAGTGACATGATGGACGATGAGCGACTGTGGCAGATGAGGCCACAGCTGGACTCGCGGCAGATGACGGGACAATGAGACCGAAGCTCAGGATTAGAGGCTGTTTGTGAATGAGTGGTGTGATTGAGTGGGAATTAGTGTGTGAGTGGGTGTGGGGGTGTGTGACGGGCCGATCGGGTGGGATTGGCTGATACATGAGACGATGGGGATTTACGGGATTTTTGCATCAGTCTCATGTAATACGTCGATTTTTCACGTGAATTCACCAAAACCAGAGATTCACCGTTATTTAATCCATGCTGTAAAGAAGAAAAAGGATTTTTTCAATTAATTTTTACAGTTTTTGGTGTTTTTAACAACTTATTGTTATTTTACAGATTTTCCTTGTTTTCGTTAAATTATGGAAAATAACTAGAAAAAATATGAATTTACATGATAACTGTGAACAACAGGCTAAAACTCTCAATAATGTCCACATCAAAAATCTGTATTTTAATTGTTATCTGTAAGTATTTCTTTTACAATGTGTGATTATAAAATTACACTCCTTCACTGCATCTAAATCAGTTCCAAAAATCTATATTTTACAGATATTTGCCATCATTTTCAGTTGTTTCAGTTTTTCAGTGCTACGGTTTACTGCTGTTTTTAAACAAGATTTTTTCTAGCACCCTTGCTGTCAGATGTTAAAAAAATTTTTAAAAAAAAGATTATTATTGTTTTATTTATGTATTTTTTTTCCCAGTGTAATTTGCATTCTGTCTAACAGCCAGCAGGGGGCGACCCTCAGGCTACAATAAAGTCAGATTGTGTCGAAGTCTATGAACAACAGTAGTGTGTTCTATCACAACGGCTGACCTTTCAATTACATGTTTTTGTTGTTGTTGTTATTTTTTACTGTATTTATATTTTTGCCATTATTTGAAAGAATGTTTTTTTTACACAATTATTTTTTTTTTACCAATTTTCCCTGGGCACAGGTCTGGGCATTCCTGTGTGAGGAATGCCCAGACCTGTACATCGGGGAGACTAAACAACCGCTCACAAGCGCATGGCTCAGCACAGAAGAGCAGCTCCTCAGGTCTCAGCAGTCCACCTGCACCTTAAGGACAAAGGACACTGTTTTGAAGACAATAATGTACAGATTATGACGACATCAGATAGTGAAGGATTAGAAAGTGTAGACGATCTGCCAAAGTGAAGAGATCCTATGTATCGTTTAGGTCACATTCTATAAATTGCAGTTCTAGATGTATTGCGTCGTCAACCTGACCGACCAATCATCACGAATTAGGGGCAGTGACGCAATCTCTTACCTGCCTCCTTGTTTGTGTGTATAGTGGTAGCCGCATGGAGAGCCATGGCTGAAAGCCAAATGGAGGAATTGGTCGCTAAAAAAACCTCCACTTCCATTATATGGACTTGTTTTGGCTTTTCCCCAAATGACAAAGCACAAACAAAGGTAATTTGCAAAGTCTGCACAGAGACGGTTCGCATGTCTGATGGCAACACGACGAACTTGTTCAATCACTTGAAGAGAAAGCCCCATAAACAGTACGCTGAGAGCCAAACAGTGAAGGGACCACCGGCAGCACCGCAGCCACAGGCAGCAGCTGGACCCAAACAGACAGCGTCAACACAGGCATTTGATAAAGGTACTCCGTATGAGAGGACAAGCAAGTGGTGGAAAGAGGTCAAAAATACATGTAAGATGGTGATAAAATTGAAATCGTGATTTTATAATAAATCGTGATATGATATTTTTGTCTTATCGCCCACCCCTAGTCAGAGCTGATGAAGCCTGTTGGATGAGAGTTGAAACGTCTTCAAGGAACTCAAGCAAGTCCAGTTGCTACGATTAGACTAGGAGACGGCACTTCAGTGTTTGGCTTCACTTACTGGACCACACACCTTTTACATTTACTGTACAAAGAAAAAGCTCCTTAAAAACCTGTTTAAATCTGGCAGCAAGGGCACCACAAAAAATACACTAAAAACAGCAGAATACTGTTTTAAAAAAAAACAAAAAAACAGGAAAAATAATGGCAAATAGCTGTAAAACATAATTTTTGTTTTTTGTTTTTTTTTAACGGTTAACATAATTTTACTTTCTGTATTTTAAACACGACAAATTGTTTTTTTTTCTGCAGAAGCAAACTGTCATGTCGAAGGAGCAGTGGTGTCCACGTATTTATGTCCGTGTAGCACCTATTTGTACGACAATATCAGACACACAGCAGCAGAGGATTCTTTTCACCCTGCCCACCCATACATGTTAGTGTTCAGTGATAAGCTGGTGGGTGCTGTGCGACCAGGTTCTATTTTTGCTGGTATTTATAGAAGCTGTATAATCCTCCTCCACTCTTCTCACTGACTCTTCTGTTGTCGCTGCCTTCCTCCTCCTCCTCCTCCTCCTTCTTATTCAGCCCACAGAGGAGTCTCAGGTAAAGTCTAATTTCAGCACCATCATGTCAGATACTCCT